ATCATTTTGTCCTTAAAATACAAGTTATACATGTAAACTTTGTACTTCAACAATACAAAAAACCTTTACCTATGTAATTCTTTTGCCAAGATGCTATAAATCTTATTCTTTAATACAATGTTAAAGAAATAGTTAACAACAACAAATTTATTTTCATTGCAATGAAATTTAAAAAGTTTAAAAGATAAATAGCTATCGAACGTATGAAACACATATTACTTTTTAATATTTCCCCGTTCAAGATCTTATATGGGAATCGATGGAAAAAATGGCGGCTGAAATCGTCGAAATTGGCACGCGTTGGTAGGACGGTGGAAAAGTTAAGATGGGCCTGGAAGGTTGGTCGCGACCAGCTAATCTCGAAGTCGTAACGGGGGAGCGAGTTATCCGAAAGGGATTATGGGTATTCGTGATACCTTCTGGTAACCTGTCGAGCTATTACGCTATTACGACCTGGGGGCCATTAATGGGGCCCATGCTGTGCACGAAGGAATCACGTTACGCACGCATGCGTGCCAGCTGAAAAGTCCCTCGTGTGCACGCGCCTCGTCCGCTCAGAAACGCTCGTCCATGCGCCGCGCGCGCGTTTTATTGCACACGAGGCGGTCGTTCCGCGCGGGGGAAGAAACGGTTATACGAAATACAATACTTTCGTACGTGACATTCGAGCAAGCTGCTGCATTTCCAGCGGGCCGTGATACGCCTCCGTTCCTCCGCTCGAACGCACGAAACTTTTCAATCGGTACGCGACGACGACGCTGACGCGTGCTTTCTTTCTCCTTTTTTCTCGCGCGGGGACGACGACGCTCCTGCACCTCCGCGATTCGATTTATTGCCCGTTCGATCGCGCATCGACCTATCGATAGCGTACCTGTTCGACGGTTATTCGCTTATCGTACATTCTCTAAGATCGCGTGACGCTCAAGGGGGCAGTCTCGCGTAAACGTTTGCAAAATTTAACCGTATTTGTTAATTTTTTTTAAGCAAACGTTACACCCAGCGCTACAATTCATTTTCGTGGTTTACTCAACTATCCTTTGGGAATACAAAATAAATTTTTTAACACTTTGACGGCCGCTGTCACGAACACGTGAGTTTGTGAGCTAGCAGACTTTGGCCACTGTCACCTTTGCGTGATCTACTGTATCAGCCACCATTTCATCATACATTTATAATTCCTTATAATAATATTCCTAGCATCTTCGTGTATCTCACTTTCGTCTACAATATCACTACGAACAACGGGTCTTCGCGTGATACGTGTGGCCATTAAAGCGTTAATCATTTTTATTTACTTTTCGTGTTGTTATTACGCGTGTTTAAACACTTCGTTTTGCGCGTAAGACATTTACTATGCAATTTATAATTACTTGTTTAGACAATTGCTAACTGACACAACGAAATGTACTATTTTCAATATACAATCAGTTACTTTCAATTGACTTGGAAAAATATTATCGAGAGATGATCCTGATTTACAACTTTAAAAAAGATCCCTTCGAAGTCGTCCAAAAGGTTATTCTATGGTCATCATTTTCTCCATATCAACACCTGTTTGTTACAATGAGACGTTGCAATCGACACCAAGGCAAGTTCAACGACCTGTAACATGACCTTCTTTCGATACCCATTACCTTATAATTTTAAACATTTCATTTATTTCGTTTAATAAACGCTCCTCTCGACTGTGTTTTAGTTTAAGGAAATTACTGGAATACGTTACGGGATGCGGATTTTTGCGATTCTATATTTATGTACGCGTTACGTATTCGCAGTGCAGAGTGTAAATTCTCGTTTTTCTACAGGGGAATGCTACCAAAAAGTTTGGAAATCGCTGCTTTGAGGAATGCAGCCTCCGTCGCGGCTCATTCCACTGACCCGGCTAGATTTCGCCTTCCGGAGAGAGGAAATTGAGGAAACGATAGGCGCGAGATAAGAGCGCAGCTTCGAACAGTGTGCTCCGCGTAAGTATTACTTCGTTCCACAGCCGAGATTACACGAATAATTTATTATTCGAGCGCGGCGTTGATATACACTTACGGGCAAGAGTTAAGAAACTTCAGATTTACACAAGTTACCATAAATAATAACCCAACAAATGGAAAAAAGCACGATGGACTGTATCATAACACGTTATAATTATTACAATATTGCTCTAAACAGTAGAATATACTAGAACATAGTGCCAAAATACAAAAGCATATTTTTATTAAAACGTTAAAAAGGCTATCTTTGATCCACGTTTTAACGTCATCATACAAAATCTAAACAAATCTGAAACTATTTAGATCTATCTAGAGTATTGTACACGTTCTTTGAAACAGTTTAAAATTTGATTGATAAGATAAAGATTTAATTCCACTTTGGATGATCTGTGAGAAAACGGAGTTGGAGAAACACTGCCATGCTACGTCTATGGGATTACATAAAACGACTGTTGGGTTCACGGTTGCTCGCTAATAAAAATGAATTATTTCAAGAAATCACGAAGCTATGGTTTCAAGGGCTAATGGATAAGTGTACGAAGTTAGTCGATCCAATGTCACATAGACACCAAGCTATTATTAAAACGAAGGATTTATCGATACCATACGAACGTAATAAGAATAGCGTGAGACTTTTATGCTGTTAAATATCATAGTTATTATAAACAATTTTCACTTTAATTTCTGACCTTTGACGAAAAAACAGAATGGAAATGTAATACGTATCAAAGAATATAAATAATATCTCGAAGTTTTACTGGGTTAATTCATTTTTAAAAATATTAGATTCACTTTGTCTCGTGTACTCGGAGCCATCCTTGTAATACACCGTGCCTCGAAGATTTTTAATCGATAATTACATTTTTAATGTCGCTAATAATACCTCCCCAAGACAAGATACGTGGCTAATTACACAGTACTCTCACCACTTTCCAACTTCAGGACTAGTTACTTTACTTTTACAGCAATTAGCAGCACACGTTTTCAGATACCCATTATTAATGTGCGAACGGCACGCACTGTGCAAGTTTCGTATTACGTTGTCCCGATCAGATTCTTTCTGGTCGTTGTGGAATACTGTGTTAACAAGGAGAGAGAGAAAAGAATATAAAACGTCCGGGGCGCGGTGAAAAATTCAGGCCCGCGTTTATGAATAAAATAATAATCGGCGTGGCCTTAACGAGAAAACGCGGCGATTTACGTTCCGTCTGAATTCGGGTCATTAATTACGCAGATATACGAAGCACAGCGATAAGTAAAATTAGGCTAAACTCGTTATTCGAAATTAATATATGTGACAAATGGCACCGTTTCCAGTCATTCGAACAAGTTAATTGTCCGAAAAAGAAAAATCCATATGAAATATTGATTCTCGCGAACCTTGGTCTCTCGATCATAGCTTTCGAATTAGGTCGATCTTCAAGTACGACGTTTCAGCAGCAAAAAATTATCGAACATGATACCTGTTAGTGAAGAAAAAAATAAACACGATATACACATGACGCAAAAACACGGAGTAGACTATGATTTTAACGTCATTAGTCTTAACAGTTGATTCCGAACTCTCTCCCACGTGTTTCTTAACGGAATTATAGTTCTCGAATTCGCCAAGTTCCATCGTGCTCTTTTTAACGATCGACCGATGATTCAATAATAATTATTATACAGACGGCTTCGTATAACGATATTCGAACGCTGGTATACCTATTTCGTTATTTTCGAATATTTATAAAATAGTCTGATATTTAGGGGTGAAGATATCTGACAATTTTTTGAAAGCATAAGGCTCTGATGAAACTTTTCGTCAGTTTCCACATATATTGTTTAACATTTCAAGATACAGATATTTTTTTTTCGTTACGTTTTAACGACTTTGGATGAAATAATAAATGTTATTCCTTATGTTGACCTTTAATCTAGAATAAAAAATATTTTGTTCATAATAGTGCTACTATTTAAACTATGTTGCATAATTAAATTAGAAGTTTACTGCAAGAATCATTTTTTTGTGTTCAGGGCCGTGTATCTTCGACAATTTTGCATTTTTTAAGGAGGATTTTAGTTCACATGACATGTAGTACTATTACGAACAAAATGTCATTGGATTTTTTATTCCAGATCAAAGGTACTAAATTCACTAGTTTAAGAAAATTGCCTGATTTCTTGTTTCACAACTCGCAGTAAAAAATTACACGTCTGCCCCGTTTCCAACAAATTTTTGGAGGCCTCCCACGCTGGTTCCTATCACGGCTGTAATAATTAATATTTGCATACGAAATTTTTACAAGAAATAGTTCAAGAAACATACTTTTGGAAACATAAAGCATTATTCGGAAAAAGTTTCATGATCACACTCAAAAAATTCTTGAAAATTGCCTTTATTTTCAAGCGTCATAGTGGTTTCCCCCCCTCAAATAAGTCCTATTCCAAATAACGCTTAGTACTATTACGAACAAAATGTAATTCGATTTTTTATTCTAGATGAAAGGTAGTAAATTCAATAGTTTAAGAAAATTCCCTCTTGTTTCACAACTTTCAGTGAAAAATTACACGTCTGCTAGTTTCCAACAAATTTTTCACACGCTGGTTCCTATCACGGCCGTAATAATTAATATTTGCATACGAAATTTTTACATGAAATAGTTCAAGAAACATACTTTCCAAAACATGAAATATTATTCCGAAAAAGTTTCATGATTACAGCCAAAAAATTCTTGAAAATTGCCTTTATTTTCAGCAGTCGTGGTGGTTTCCCCCCTCGAATAAGTCCTATTCCACGGTCGTTTATCACGAACGATACCTCGCCGGCGTACGTAGAAAACGCGACAGTCGAGCGAAACTCCCGGTGGAACTTTCACCCGTCAGAAATCGGTTTTAACGCGGTCAGGCGGGAAACAATAATCCGTGACGAAAAAAACGAAAATAAAAAAAAAACCAAACGAAGAGACGAGAGAAGAGAGAGAGGTAGCCGGTGGAAAGAACGGGGGGAAAGGAACGTAAAAATTGTCGACTCACATTGATCGAATATCTTAAGCATCGCTTTCTTCAGCTGCATAATCGTGCGCTGACCGTGGCGAGGCGCCTCGATGAAGTGGAGCAATCACGTACATAACCAATATCGTCGTCGTGTAAGAACCGAGCGTGGCTCGTTTCGCGCGGAACACGTCGTTTCGAGAACAATTCATCCTCCGGGGACGCGAAAACGGCGTCCTTCAAGGACCGATCGCGCGTCTCGCGGGACACTCGGTCGGCCGACAGGCCGCGATTCCACACCGCGACCGCGTCATCCTCGTTCCTCGTTCTGCCGTTTCCTCCGTCCTCCTCCCCCTCCTGTTTTGTCGTACGTCGAGGCAACGGGTCGCCGGGAGTCCGGGTACCCGGGGGTCCGGTGCGGTCGGCCTGGAGCGCGACTCGCCTCGCAGGGAAACGTCGACGTCGCGTCTCTCGAGGAAGCGGTCGTTCTCGTCACTTCCGGCCCGCCGTGGAATTCGCACGACGAACGAACCCGTTTCCTACGATCGCTCCCACGTACGCGGTCGGATTTCTCGACGCAAATTCGCTACGACACCCACGTGGCCGCGGCGACGACTAACCGTCCGCGACGGAGACTTCAACGGAGACCGACGGAAACCGACGTCCCGCTGATCCATCCGATAACTGCGCGCCTCCCTCGACGCGCGTCACTCGTTCATCGCGGCGACGATCGTTAGTCGTAGAGAATGTTCAACGACCGATCGAACCGTTCTATCGTAGACGTGGCACTAATTATCAACACCTCGCAGAATCCTCCGTCTCTTCGACGATCGTTCGAACACGCTACTTGATCGCGTTCGTAAAATCGTTTCGCAGAACCATCGACCGTGCTCGAACAGCTGACTTCGAAACTGTACCGCGCTACTCCGTTTCCGGTCGAATTATTATCCGACAAAGGGTACGAACGGGAAGCTCTGATTTACGGAGCATCCCCCTCCGCCCGGCGTGGAGGCTTTTTTCCATCCGAAAGAGAAAAGAGCCGTGTCTTCTTCCGACGGTTCGATTTCGTGGACCCGGTCGATCGATGTCACCCGACATCCGGCACGATTTCACGAAACGTGCATTCGCGGTTGCGCGCGCGCGCTCACGCGCCTCTTGTTTACCTTCTCTTCTGTGTCACCAGACTTCGATTCGAGATCGAACGGGCATCGATCAACGTCGAGAGATCGCGCGAGGCTCGACGGATACCGTAGCGTGTGCGCTATGGCGGAACCCGCGTCGCGAATATCTGTCGGAGCATCTTTTATCGCGGCGAGATCCCGACCGTTTGCTCGATGGCGCGTAGTAAACAGTTCGCTGATATTCGATGTGGACGCGGTTGCGTGCAAGGCGATCCGATCTCGATCAAGTTCGCGCCTGTTTCGTAGTTTCGCGCCAGCAACGAACCACGGTATGGTGTTCGAACGAAAAAGCTGACCGTTACGACGGAAGCGACACTTTTTTTCCACAACGGTCGCGTATGAATAATGCACGCGTCGCACAAATCACGCGCGAAACGTCTCCCGCGCGAGTTTAACCGCGACTGCCGAGTCGAGTCGAGTTACTCTCTTGCGGGCTCGAACCGAGCGAGGTTGCTGAAGGGGGGAGCCGAGCAGAGGGTCGAGGGGGGGGAGGGGAGTACGAGACAGTCAGAGAGAGAGAGGGAGATAACAGACGGAAACAGCTGCGGCTAGGCAGAAAGAGTGCAAGATCGAGAGAGGGAAGATTTCACAGTCGACGAGGAGGAAGAAAGATTTTAGAAACCGCGAGTTGAAACGGGAGGGGAACGTTACGAATCGGAGAAAGAGAGAACAAACAGAAGATTTGGAGACAAAGGCGGACGCAACAAAGAACGCGAAATGGCAGGTACCGGTAGTCTCGGGCAACAACGAGAAATTTTCAACCTCTCTTTCTTTTTTTTTTTTTTTTTCTTGCAAAATGCGTATTTATTTATCTGCTAATAAGGAACGTTACTCCAGCGTTGTACTCCGATTTTGATGAAACTTGGTATAACTGGCATATATTCGTATTTAGGGAGAAGGGATTAGATGTGCAAGTGTGTAATAAAATTTTATATTTTTCTCATTATTATGCAAACTCTAAAATTGGAAAAGTGTCTGTCGATTAATTTGATTAATTGCCAGTTAAGAGAAATCTGATGAAAAATATTTGCAAAAGCAAAAACAGTAGAGCCACCTATGACTTTTCGATATTTTCATTTACACCATCTTATTGCCCACGAAAAACCATACGTTTCTTATTTTGAATATTTTGTTCTACCTGCATTGGCCTCCGAGATATATTTGGAGGGTGGAAAACACCCCCTACACACGAATATCTGAAAAGAAATACGTGTTTAATATATTTTAATGTTCTGTCGTTATACCAAGTTTCATCAAAATTGGAGTATAACGCTTGCACGACGTTCCTTGTAAGGAGATTCTCGCGTATACGAAAGAGCTCCATTTAAAGACATTGTTGTTGGCTTTGATACGTTGCGTGTATCTTCCATTTTTAAGCTTGCAAAATATATCGCCTGCTTGACTACTCGCCTACTTAATATTGCGTCCATATATCGAAGCAACTCTCGAGAAAATGTTTTTGCGGTTTTTCTAACGAGAACGTATGGATACGTGTATAATTACGCGATAAAAAGTATACCGATTAGAAGCGTGTACGAGCTTCCGGATACCGTGTCGCGGTAGAAAGCTGAAAATCAGGCTACCGACGAAATGGCAAAGTGTATTGGCGTCCCGAAGGCGAAAGAGAATGATGGTTCGAAGACGGGTGGTCAGATAAAAATTGTTATCTGTTTCGTTGGCCGTCGAGTATGTGCTTACATCGGCTTTCGTCTGATAACCACGCGGTCATTCGTCCATTTACGTAAGTATACGCGAGAGACGATGCTGGTGGTAGAAACGAGACGGATTCGAGCTGACTATACTCTGTTCTCTTTCCACGAAAAACGCGCGACGAGTGCTCGAATCGTATACCGAACCTCCTCGATAGATGTACAAGTATCGACGATGATCACCATTCGAGGTTCGTCTTGCGTTGAAACCCACCGCGTACCTTTTAACGAGAAAATGGTACGAGATAGAAACACTTAACTATATTAGTAGTTAGCCATAGTTTCTTAGAGACATTTTAGACGAGTTACAATTACGTGTAATAATATTTTACAATTCGAGAGTATAACTGTTCGTAAACTTTATTTTTACGCGTACGATCGAAAGCTTTTTGCCAGAGATTGTGTAAATTCTCGGGAAAATCGAGCGTGACCGTTCGATCGCGTCGATTTGGCGCACCATAGAAAAGTCCATAGAGCCCGTAAATGGACCGTGGACTGTACTTTGAAAAGGCTATCTCATAAGATACGCGCTAATGTCGTTTCCAGCGATATCACGAAATTCCTCATTTCCAAATCTACTCTCGTATTTTCCCACGATGCGTGCTGAATATTCCGGTCTCTACGATTCCACGATCTCGTAGCTTACAGCGGTTGGCACGCACGTTGTTTTTCCGCGAATATTTCGTCTAACGTTTACGACCGCGGTTCACGAAACCGTGATTCAATGGAAAACGAAAGACGCGTGGCGCGAGATAATCTGCATAACCACGTGATGTCGAGTAATATGCAATCGACGATTACGGTGGCGTCCAAGTAACTTAAGAACTTCTCGGTGCAATGTGCACTCGCGTTTGTTCGTGCGACAATAACGTGTTCTCATTGTTAATTTTATTGAACGATAACCTCACAATTAGACGCGAATTATTTTATTCCGCGAATTAATATTTTAACGAGTTATCGCCAACGTTGTACGTACACCAAGATTTTATCTTTTCGCTAACGCACTCGATAAACGGTTCGCCAATTCTAACTAAAATTCGCATTACGTGATCGTGATATCAGTACGTTTTATCTAAATGCACGTTCGTAAATACGCATTCCGCCTTCACCTTTTTTTTTCCTTCTTTTTCTTTACATTAATTTGATCTCTCGCGTCGTAAATGGCTCGTTTCTTTTAACAGTATTACACTTTTACTATACACGGTGTTCGACCACCCCTGGGAAAAATTTTAATGGAGGATTCTGGAGACCAAAATAAGACGAAAATCAAGAATACCAATTTGTTAATGAAAGCTTCGTTAAAAAGTTATTAAGAATTAAATTCAAAAATTTTAAATCGTTCTGGAAAAATTATTTTCTGTTGCGGGGGTCAATTACAATCATTTTTTGTGAATAGACATACTCTCGAAATCCTACCCACTTTCTAGATAAAAATTCGAGAAGGTGTGAAATTTTTCGACGGAAAAAAAATTTCAAAATCGTTATGGAAAAATTATTTTCGGTTGCAGGGGTCAATTGCAATCATTTTTGGCGAATAGATATACCCCTGAAATCTTGCGCATTTTGGAGAAAAAAATTCAGTAAGGGTGGAACTTTAAACGTTAATAACTTTTTAACGAAGCCTCCATCAACAAATTGGTATTCTTGATTTTCGTCTTATTTTGGGGTGACCGAACACCCTGTATAATTTTGAGAACCATGCTGGTCATCATAGTCAATGCACTGTCGATACAATTTATTATATCTTTTTAAGAGAATTGTCAAAATAAGTCCAAACAGGATCTAACTTCGCCCAATCAAGTTTGCTTGGATATTAAAAATTGCCTGAACTCGACTTGTATTTTCAAGTACCTGGACACTTCTACATTAGAATATTAAACTATTTGACTAAGTGACGTACAAATTGTCAACGCAATGAACGAGGTTTACGAGCAAGACTCGAGCCTGCAACCGTACATTCGTTTCTAGATCGAGTGTTTCGGTCCACCGTAGATTCTCAAGAATAAAGACGACCAATTTGCTTCGACAATCGACCTTTCGCCACTTCTTTCCATCCAGGAAATCCGTAATTGTCGCCCGGTGAAACGTGTGTACGCGTTTCTCTCAAGCACAATTAAATTTTACGTTTGTACTTCGTTGCGTAAACGAGCGTGATTTCACTACAGAATCGGAGAAATTTTTATAACTTTGTTAAGCGACGACCTCGTCGAAACATTCTTCCTTCAACCGTAGTTAAATATTTGTCCAGTCGAGCATTCGAATATTAATGCTCGCGGAACGTTTGAAACCGTCGAGCCGTTCAACAAGTAAATAAATAACATCGATTGTAACGAAAATTTCGCCGACAACCCGTTCAATTAGTCGACCGCGGATCAGTTTCTCGAAATTAGCAAAGATATCGAGGCGATTCGTAAATATCAATTTAACGAGTTAATAACGGGTTTTTTTTCTATGCGAGTCTCTTTCCTTTTCCTTCTTCCGCTCGCGCCGCGCGTTTCAAGCAAATTGCGCCGCCCCGCGTGGGCGAGTTAATTGGACGCTTACTTACGCGTGACGAAACAAACACTGCGGACGCGCGGGACCGAGAGTTTTCAATGAATTCTAACCAACAAATCCCGCGCCATCGTGGGCCGAAATAATGTCACCGACGATTAGTCATCCCGTCGAGTGCCCTCGCGACAGAAGTGCCGCGATTCTGGCCTGCGAAATCTTCTGACCTTTCGCGAACGAGCGCGCGCGACAAGAGGAAGAGTCGCCCGCGGATCGCTTACAAGCCAAGTCGATTTTTCTGGGTTAACGAGCGCGTCCCGTGTACGCGTACGAGCGAAATCGAATGTAGCTCGACCGTTTCACGCACCAGAAATAATCCCTAGGCGTACGTTCGAACCATCTCCGGCTACCAGACACGGTTGGACCGGGTCAAACGCCATTTGAGGGTTAGCTGGCCGTGGCTGCTGCGCAGGACAGCCGCGTCAAATTCGTTTCTCACCTTCCTACCACGTCCCTGACCGCTAATATACAATTATTTCACTAAATTTATAAACACTTTAACGCACTAAACCTATTAAGCGATTAGGAACATGTTCGTTGGTACCGTATGGCGGATGCTTTGCGTTCGTTGTTTTAAAAAATTCAGATACATATTAAAGTTATATTTCTACAAGCTTAGAAACGTCTTATGAAATGTCTGTATATAAAAATTGGAGGATGGTTAAGTTCTGGAGTGAGATGGACTTATTCCACTGTTTCGAAAATGGTGGGTTGAGAGACATAGTGGCGTAGGTCACATTTTAGCTATTTCACATCAAATAATGTTTTGCAAAATATTAACGTTACAAAGACACATCTAAAAGTGTCAGAAAGTGTTAAAAAGTATCTATCTATGAAAATAATTGAAGGATGTTTAAATTCTGATGCTTCATGAAGAATTATGATTCTTTCATAGCTGATTCTATTTAACATTACCCGTAAGCATTTATTCTGAAACACATGTAGTGGTTTTGTATTTGTTTTCCATGTGCTGACCACTCGAGAACCCATGTCTCCAACGAGCCACCCTCGACAACTTTCCTCCCTAATTTAAACCCCTAAATATATCAACGTATGAACAAAGAATAGACCAGTTTAAAAAACAACTCAATTCATAAGAAACAATATTTTTTCCCCCATTCATAGTTATTCACGTTTAATTTATAGCGAACCACTGTTGTCCATCCACTTCCGTATTCGAGCCACAGCCCTAATAAGCAGTTTAAACCAATTTTCGAGACTCCATTATTTTTAACCGTGCGTAAGTCACCACAACGCGGCTCTATTATAGTAACATATAATAGAGTAAGTGTGTTTGTGCTCATATACAGATACAAAACACTACAGTGTCGAATTTATAACTCGTTACATCCAACGACACGCTCAACAAGCACGATCGAAGCGATTAGAGAAGTTTTGGAGAAGAGAATTGCTATCAGATTTTATTTTAACGCGATTAATTTGAATTCACTGGGTCCTGTCGATACTGCCATGCATTCTTAAATTATTATATTTTTAGATTAACAGAGAAACGCTTGTTTTTATACGTTATTCGCCACCGAATTGTCGTAAATAAGAAATTAAGTTAATTTAACTTGATTATTGCGGACGTCTACCGTCGATCGACATTTTCCACTATTTCATTCACCGACAAAGACTGAATTTGCTACAAACAAATAATCAACTTTCATGATACTCGCCATTAAGATACAAAAAAAAAATCACCATTTTTCGATCAAGTCACAAACAACAAATCAGTGTAAATGTACGGACAGCGATAATTGGCGATAATGTAATCGAACCTGTTTTTCCTGATAGGAGATTAACAGGTCAAGCTTATGTAAATTTCTTGAGTAATCAATTGCACGAGTTACTGAAAGAAGTTCCATTAGGTGTACGTCACAAGCGGTTTACGCGTGACGGTGCATCATTTTATTTTAGCCAATCGGCCGAAAACTTCGCGAACGAACAATGTTCGAACGTGTCAAATAAATTGTATCGAACAAGGAAGACTTTTAGGGCGCGTGAAAGTAATTTTAAATATTTTTGTTCGCTGGGCGTCGAGTGTTGTATAAAATTAAGTTGTAAACTATGTGGAGCAAGCATGCTAAACACATGTTGGCACAGGAGCCAATTTGCATTTTGCTACCGTGTCGCAGACTGCGAACGTGTAATTATTTTACAACTAAAATTACTATTTTAATTAAAAATCTTCAATTATTTTCACTACGGTATACAAATACGATTCTATAAATACAGACGCATAGAAATAAATGAAACGAATGAAATTTTGTTGCATTTCTAACCGTTACAGGGATACAGCTTTTCCCAGTTGCATGAAACGTCACGATGAAAATAGTTTAAACTGATAATTATTTTGCAACCGTGTAAAAAACGGCACAAAGATTTTGAGAACAATGATTCTGATTAGAAGGTGATCCATCCTGATCGACAGCGGAAGGGTTTACGAGAACGTTGCTGGTGTTCAAAGTATGATTCAACAATAGCTCCAGACAACCTGCAGACACATCGAGGACACGCTAAAGATTAATCAGAGGCGTGTCTCATTTTATACATACGTACGTATCTCCATGTGTTAAACCGTAATCTCGAGTAAGTCAGTCATTCGTACTAGAGATTTCAAACCCATTCGATTGGTTTCAAAGCTTAAAAAAGTAACTTTTATTTGAAAATATCTCTCTTGTGCAGTTCGCGAATTACAGTAGAATTAAAAATAGCCAAATATTTTAGGATCAATTTCTA